TGTAAACGGCACTGTGGATTCGAATGGGGTGTTTGGAACCGATACAACAGAAGAACATGTTGACAGTGGTTCTGCTCCGATCGGGGTTCGCATTCAATCAGGCTGCAAAGGACCCCCGCTTTGGGCATCGCATGCTGGACGTCAAGAGGAATTTTGTGACGGCCTGGGCCTTTGCAGTCCAGGTAGATGGCACCCTAAGATGCGAGCGCTGGACAAATCTGAGGAACAGTAAAAGGCTTGCCGCAAGTTCAGAGACATGGTGGATAGGTTTTGCATCAAGCAGATACCAGACATGGCAAGAGCTACATTTGGAGTGGCCTTGGCGAAACAGAAGACGTCATTGTTTGGTGAAGAAGCTTTGCGTCAGCTGCGAGAAGAATGGTTCGGTAGCCTCCCAGATCCGAAGCAAGCTGCTGTCATGGAGTCGGGCCAACCGTTTTACCTACATGCGTTGGCGCAGTCGTTGCGCATGGTGGGGGGCCCAGATGTTGACATATTGGATACATCATCTGAAGTTCACTCTTGCTTTGCAACAGGTGTCCACCTTGGGCACATCCACCCTCTGGGCCCTACACCTCAGGTTTTCCGACCGAAGCTGAAGGAATCGGTTTATGATGAGTCAGTTTGGATGCCGGAGATGGATAATTACTTCTCGGGTCCGGAGGCTGATGCAGAGAAGATTCTTCAGGAGCAATTTTCTGAAGAAGAAATGGCTGGCAGGATGAAAGCTATTTCAGTTCCTGAGGCTCGCAGACAATACCCGGATGGCAACCTGCGAATTGCTGCTCAAGGCATCCTGGAGAAGCCCGATGGTACATACAGGATTGTGCACGATGGGACGCATGGAGTTCATCTGAATAATGAAATCAAAGTGTTGGATAAGATGGATAACCCTGGTCCTCGCGAAATGGCTTGCATCATGGAAACTTCGATGGCAGCAGGTGAGCGAGTCATTTTTGCAGTCAATGGCGACATATCCAAAGCCCATCGACGGGTCAGAGTTCGTCAGCAGGATTGGGGTGTTCAGGCGGCTCGAACATCCAAGCACTCCAATGTCATCTGGTTGAACAAGGTGGGGGCGTTTGGAGTGGCGTCAGCTGCTTTCTGGTGGTCTAGATGAATAGGGCTCATCGGAAGATTTACTTTGAGTCTCTGCCTGCAAGATTGGTTGTTCCTGTTGACGTTTGTGGACGACCTACACATTGCTGTGGGTGGCAAGGATCGCTGGAGGACATTCTGGAGAGTGATAGCTTGCTTCGAGATGGTTGGCGTCCCTTTCAGCTACAAAAAGTTTTCTGGCGGTTTTCAGCTGGACTATGTGGGATTCTGGATGGATTACGCCAGGTTCGAAATCGGCATGTCTGAAAGGAGAACGAATTGGTTGATCCGATTCATTGACGAGATGGAGACCAATGACTGGTTGGTCAACGCAAGGCGTTTCCAAGAGTTCCATGGGCGCTTGGGCTTTGCGTCTCAAATTAAGACCGGAAAGTTGTGGTTGGTGGCTGGCTGCTTCAGGAAGAGGCGAACACTTTGACTGCACCTTGGTTTAGCCTGACCATCACACCTGAAGATGCGCCCTGGCTTTTCCAGGGAGATAACTTTGCTTCATCGTGGGCAAGCACGGCGGCGGAGCTTCTGGCGGCTTTGATTGCGATCAAGGTTTTTGGGATTGGATCCAAGTTGGAAAGGGGCACTTGCTCCCATGTGTTGCGCTGCACTGGTGGCGTGGACAACAAGGCCGTGGAGCCCCTCACGAATAAGAAACTGAGTACCAAGCTGCCAGTTATGATCATCTTGATTGAATATTTTCATCATTGTGATTTGGTGGGATTGAGGTGCCATTTGGATTGGAGACCCCGTGATGTTAACGTGCCAGCAGACGACCTCACTAACAGCAGGTTTGATAAGTTTGATGAATCTCTTCGAATTCCAGCGGAATGGAGCAATCTTCATTTTCCAATGTGTGACCTGCTGATGAAATTCTCTGAGAGGTTCAATAAAAGGAAAGGACTGGCAAGCCCTCCGTTTCCAGCCGAGGGTCAGAAATTTCAGAAGTCCCACTGGGGATAATGCAACTCGTTTCATAGGGGTACAATCCTCGTTTGCATGGGCTTTGATTTTCACGTCAAAAGCCCTTTTGGTTTTCACACCATAGAAGTTTGAAACTTGACATGGCGACGACAACCAACGCAGAAAAGAGAGAAGGCAGCTGAAGTGCATTGTGCAATGTTGTTCATGTTGAGTGTTTTTTTCGCTTCAAAAGAAAATTTGAATATGTTTTTGGCTATTAGTGTATTAATATTCTTTGGGAAAAATTGTGGCAGTAAAAGATTGCAGGGCCTCCTGGGGATTTCACTCCTTTTCGTGGGGCCTCCTACTTGGGTCTTTGGGTTTGCTTTGTCAAACTTTGTTGTGTGAATGCTTTGTTGAACAAGCCTTAGTTGGGAAACAAAGTGGACCAACTGGTTTGTTCATAATTAGCATTCTTGGTGTGGGTGGGTGGGACTTACCCTACCTCACTCGTTTCTCTTAGCTTTTTGTCTCACCGTCTCACCTTAGTTGGGCCATATATGTTGGGGGCTTTTCTTTTCACTTTTGTCAGTTTCGGAATTTTATCTTCCGCTTCTTTCTTTCTTACAAAGTGGAAAGCATGGAGTTGTTTAACTTTTGCCTAACTGCATATGTCACGTTTTTCCGATTCACTCAGTTTAGTTTTCAGTGATGTTGTTTCAACTTGTACTTCTGGGGCCTTGTGCCCATTTCTTGTTCTTGTGTCCATCTTTCGCCCCTCAGCTCTGGCTCTTTCAGTTTTTGTTACCCTCCCCCTGCCTCCCTCTGTTGTCCTTTTCCTACGGACCGTATCGCCATACATTGGCAGGGGAATGTAGGGGTACAATCCTCGTTTGCATGGGCTTTGATTTTCACGTCAAAAGCCCTTTTGGTTTTCACACCATAGAAGTTTGAAACTTGACATGGCGACGACAACCAACGCAGAAAAGAGAGAAGGCAGCTGAAGTGCATTGTGCAATGTTGTTCATGTTGAGTGTTTTTTTCGCTTCAAAAGAAAATTTGAATATGTTTTTGGCTATTAGTGTGTTAATATTCTTTGGGAAAAATTGTGGCAGTAAAAGACTGCAGGGCCTCCTGGGGATTTCACTCCTTTTCGTGGGGCCTCCTACTTGGGTCTTTGGGTTTGCTTTGTCAAACTTTGTTGTGTGAATGCTTTGTTGAACAAGCCTTAGTTGGGAAACAAAGTGGACCAACTGGTTTGTTCATAATTAGCATTCTTGGCGTGGGTGGGTGGGACTTACCCTACCTCACTCGTTTCTCTTAGCTTTTTGTCTCACCGTCTCACCTTAGTTGGGCCATATATGTTGGGGGCTTTTCTTTTCACTTTTGTCAGTTTCGGAATTTTATCTTCCGCTTCTTTCTTTCTTACAAAGTGGAAAGCATGGAGTTGTTTAACTTTTGCCTAACTGCATATGTCACGTTTTTCCGATTCACTCAGTTTAGTTTTCAGTGATGTTGTTTCAACTTGTACTTCTGGGGCCTTGTGCCCATTTCTTGTTCTTGTGTCCATCTTTCGCCCCTCAGCTCTGGCTCTTTCAGTTTTTGTTACCCTCCCCCTGCCTCCCTCTGTTGTCCTTTTCCTACGGACCGTATCGCCATACATTGGCAGGGGAATGTAGGGGTACAATCCTCGTTTGCATGGGCTTTGATTTTCACGTCAAAAGCCCTTTTGGTTTTCACACCATAGAAGTTTGAAACTTGACATGGCGACGACAACCAACGCAGAAAAGAGAGAAGGCAGCTGAAGTGCATTGTGCAATGTTGTTCATGTTGAGTGTTTTTTTCGCTTCAAAAGAAAATTTGAATATGTTTTTGGCTATTAGTGTATTAATATTCTTTGGGAAAAATTGTGGCAGTAAAAGACTGCAGGGCCTCCTGGGGATTTCACTCCTTTTCGTGGGGCCTCCTACTTGGGTCTTTGGGTTTGCTTTGTCAAACTTTGTTGTGTGAATGCTTTGTTGAACAACAATTTTTGTGATGTTCATGCATTTTTGAGACTTTATGATGAAGCACTTGCCTGCAAGCTCGATTTGTGTTAGATGAGTTGAGCGTTGGAGCGAGGGTGGCATCATTTCTCAATTCAATTTGTAGTTTCTTCTCAAGGGTGAGGTGAGGTGGGAAGGCTCTAAAATTGAGAGAAGACTTGGGGGGGTTGTTGTGCCATGGATGATTCGGTTATTGATTCTGCGTTTGACAATGAATGGCTGGATGGAGAGCAAGCTTTTGGTGACTGGGATGAGTATGGAGGTGAACTAAATGGTTACCTATTTGGGCACTGTTAGCAACGATGGTTTTCCGTTGGGCGAAGCAGAACTACTCTTCGTGAGCCAGAGGATTCGTATGAACCCGTTGCCGAGATCCCGGTGCAGACTGAAGGTCCTACTCTCACTGGGACAGATTGGACAGGTTTGGTCAATCACGCCTTTTCATCCAGCAGCAGTGTTGTTGACGCAATCCACTGCCTTGGGAATCTGGTGTTATGAAAGAAGTATTTGTAACTTTGCCATCCTTGCCAGCTCTTCCAAGGTGTTGCATAGCAAGTGACAACATGGAGATTCGCAGCGATGACCCCCGCAGACCAATGCTTACCAATGTGGCCCCATGGGCTTGATCAAGTTAGACCTGCATATGCCAGCGCAGTGAAAAGCTTGCGTGACTTGGATTACATGGATGAGAAGAAGGCGCGGGTGGGCTTGGCGGTCGGCAAGTGGTTGGAGATCATTTCACTGGATTGGAGCAGCTCATTGGTTGGCAGTCAATTGCAGACAGACATGTTCAGCGATCCGACAGGTAGAAGACCTTGATTGCGGTCTTTGGAGTAAAATCACCGTCGACAATCATCAAACGAGCGTCCAGTCTGAAGCAATACATATGGTTGTTCCAAGCGAATACCGGAATAGCAGTTGGTTCGAGCCTTCCCCGTCAAGGAGACAGACCTGTGGAGCTATTTCCTCTTCCTGAAGTCTTCCAGAGTGGCAACCATCAAAGGATTCACGGTTAGCTCTACGTTTTTGGAGACCGTAAGATTCTGCAAGTTTGTGATGGGCTTCCATGACTGCGATGGCGTTCTCTCTTCTAAGAGACTGATTGGTTTTTCGGCGCTTGAGAAGAAGGAGAGGGGGCCTTTGAATCAGGCCCCTCCTCTCGAGGTGCAACACTTGTTGAGGCTGCGTGAGATTCTGGCTAAGGGATCTAATGCGATTGATCGGATTGGTGCAGGTGCTTTCCTGGTTTGCGTCTACTCGCTGGCCCGGTGGAGCGACCTCAGGTATGTGCATCACATCAAATTTGATGGGTACAAACGTCAGGCAAGACCTCAGCGGTTGGCCTTCGAAGGAGCAGTTCCTGCTTGGCTGGGTTGGGACCTACCTGCGACTTTGTGTGACCAGGGGTTCAACTTTGAAAGGGTTCCTTTCGGACCTTTGCTGCCTGTTCCCAAGGGCGAAAACGAACGGTACTCAAGACCTTTGGGCGCCAATGAAGGTGCCAACTGGTTGAGCCTACTCCTGGCGGGTTGCCCTTGAGCCGATCAAGTGAGGGCGCGCTCCATGACGGTGACTCTATGTGTTTGGGCAGCTCGCTATGGAATTTCCAAGGAGCATAGCGCAACCCTCAGCCACCATCATGCATGCTCTGCATTGACTCTGCATGGATCGGATGTGGTTTACTCCCGAGACCTCCAGGCAGGGGCGATTCGCAAGTTGCAGATGATGTTGAAGAAGGTCAGACTTGGCTTGAACCCTGAGCCTGAACACAATCTTCAGCACAAGGAGATCGCAGCAACATTCGGCTTGGTTTTCACAGTGTTGCGCGAACACCAGTTCTGGACAAGAGCACTCCAGGGACACCTGGCATCACTGTGGGCAAGTTGGCGCACGAAGTGCCAGCAGCAGAATCCGCTGGCCCCCACAACGAGGAGCTGGCTCCCTCTTCAACTCAAAGCTCTGCCAGAGAGGTTGGTTCTCAACCTGTCAAGTTGGAGGAGGACGTGCAAGAGGCTTGTGTGGCTGAGTTTGAGAAGTCCGACTTTGCCAGCTTCCGCGCAGGCTTCGTTCAGATCGATAGCTCGTCAGGTAGCTCCTCCTGCAGTTCAAATGACAGCGCAAGTGATTCTGACAGTGATGATCCAGGTGGAAGTGACCCAAAGGGCTTAATGCCTGCCGCGGCCTCAGCATTTAGAGAAGTGATTCCTGATGGTCTTGAGTTTGCGTTTCGCAAAAAGAGCAAGATTTTGCGCAAGAAGAAGGTAGGCGCAGGTGTTTTTGCCTGCAAGACTAAGTGTAGTGCAAATTTCACTGCTCTTTGCACTGTTGTGACTTTCAGGTTTCTAAAGTGTTTGAAATGTTTCCTTGTTGATCACAACAGGGTCAGGACGGTAGATGAAGTGGTGGACCATCTCGACCGGTTCGCAAAGAGATGCAAATCAAACTGAGAGACCATGTTGGCCGGGCAACAGTGTTGCGGAAAGCCGCGGGGATTGCCCATGTTTGCGCAAAGTTTGATTGAAAGAGGTCGCTTTGAAGATAACAGGTCAGTCTCTGTTTGATATTTGATGACGCAAAGTTTCCCAGAAAGCTGGGCAAGTTTGCAGAAAGCTGCATGTTAGTGTCTTGGCTCAAAGGAGCGCGCGCAAGTTGATCAAGTCAGACACTGACCCGTCAAAGTTTTCTGGACCTCTCAAGTTTCTTTTGGTTAAGGTTTATTGCATGATGATGCATCCCGTGACAGGATATAGTTCAAGAAGCCGAGATGCGTGACTTTTTCCGTTTGATGCTTGCCTTGCCTTCACATTTTCATTCAACTTCACATTAGTTTGCCAAAGTGTGTGAGCCATGACAAGTCTCCTAGACTCCACAGCACAGTTTGAATCTCGAGCTGCAGATGACTGCTTCAGGCGTTGACAATTTGTTTAAATTGGCCTTTGCAGTAGGCCAACCGGGTCAGCCATTGGTTGCTGCAGACGTGGATGCCTTCCTGGCTACCGCATTAGCTCACGCACCCACGATCGCGGAAGGTGCAGCAGTTCGTAGATTAGCTTTTGAGGCCCAGACGCTCCTGATTGCCAGCCTGCGTCAACTTGTCGAGCAGCGTGATGACATGCCAAGTGGCTTTTCAGCGTGCTGACGTCACTTTATTTTCTTGACACAAAAAGGATGTGGTGACATCCTAGGGCTTGTGTTCTCTCTTCCCGGAGGGTGCTCCTGTTCGTTGTGGGTTGTTAGGCCCAGGTGTTGGGCCTATGTTATATGTGAGCTTTTATGTTGGTCTCACTTTTGTCTTCTTTTTTTGTAGCTTCCCACAACCTTTGATAAGTAGAACACCGATGAAGCGTGTATGTCCTTGCAGTTCCTCTCAAGGGTGGGTAGTGGCGGGTGCGCCGTTCGTTTCATGGTGGTTCTCTCTTTTGAGATCAATGGGGGTATTCTCGAAGACAGTTACATTCAACAGAAGGGCTGGTGCATTAGCTCGTGGCCGTGCAGCTATGAAGCCCCCAGTCCGGTGCCGGTGCGTTAGCCTGAGGAGTTTTGCGATGCCATTTTCTTTTGGGTTTATTTTCGGTATTTTCACGGTCATTGCATTCCTTTCAGCTTTGGTGTGACATGTCAGAAGTTTCTTCAGACTGCGTGATCATAGATGAGCTGTCAGTTGGGGATGCCGTCGAAGAAGGCGTCAAGATTGAGGAGCCCCAGGCTCTTGACAAACAGGATGAACTTCAGGTGGATGCATCGGTGTTTGCCCCTCAGGATCATTCATCAGCTTCAGATATTGCTGTCTCTAGAGACCACTATCAGAGGATGTTGTTGGATGCCACTATGCACAATGCATCGAAAGCTGAGTTGAAGTTGCCGTGGGAACAGGGAGTGCTCAGTGTAATTTGCGGTACAGGTGATCTTCACTTCATGAACAATACATTGGATAGCCCAGTTGTTCCTGCAGGGTTTTCTGGTTTGCCAAACATTGCACAGTCATCACAAGAAGTGTCATCATCTAAGAAGAGACCTTTGACGTTGCCCTTGTATGCATCGGCTGTTAAGGCGCTTCGTGATGAGGATGCGTTTGAGGAGCTTGGTAGGCTGTGGAATGTTGCGGTTGGCAAGTGGTTAGCTAACTTTGAGTTGATGGGGTACCCCGGTACTATAGGCAACTTGTTGTGGGGTTCGCGTGATGATTCAGTAGCGTGCTTTGATATCCTAAGGGATGTACTTGGCATCCGATCTCCAAGAACGGCGATCAAGAGAGCGCGGACAGTGCACAAGTTTTTACAATGGCTTGGGACTTGCAATGTGTCTTTTGCAGATGTCACTCGTGTTCACGTGCTTACATATTTGACTGGTAGCGAAGACAGAGCAGTTGCAGCGTCAACAGGTACATCGCTGATGGAATGTTTCAGGTTCCTCAAGTTTGTCATGACCATCTCAATCCCAGGTGACATTTTGGAGGACGCTCAGATTGCTGGGCGAGTTCAGCGGCTGCGTGTGACTCAGGCCGATTACAAACCTGCGAGGGACCTCATGCTGTGCGAGGTTACCATGTTGGAGAGGTCGATGACAGTTCTAACTGATCAGCATGATGTATACATACTGGGATGCTGCATATTCGCATTGTATTCACGTTCACGTTGGTCGGATTTAAAACATATTCAGCACTTGTGGTGTGAGAAGTACACCACAGAGAATGGTTTGTTTGGATTCGTGGAAGCGAGAACGCGTTTCCACAAGACGGGGACCTCAATGGAGAAGAAGCTGCGGTTTATGCCGTTGGTGGCTCCGGTGGCAGGAGCAACAGATCTTGACTGGACAGAGCTTTGGTTTTCAGCGATGGATTCAATTGGTTTTGATCATGCTGCGCGTCCTGTTGGTGCTCTGTGCAGGGCCCCCTTGACCACAGGTGGACTATCTTCGCGGTCATTGAGCTCAGAGGAGGTCAATGAGTTTCTCAACCGAGTGTTGAACACAGATGTCACATCTCATTCTTTGAAGCACACCACATTGGGATGGGCTGCTAAGTATGGGCTGTCTGAGCCTGTGAGGACTCTCTTGGGTCATCACGAGCTGCCGGGCAAGTCGTATGCCGTTTATTCCCGATGACAAGACCTTTGCATCACTATTGTGCTATGTTGCTGAATCTACGTCAAGGAAAATTTCTGCCTGACACAAGCCGGGCCCTGTGGATGCTGGGTTCTCAGTCATTGAGTGGTCCGGTGAATCAGGGGGCACGGTCTTCGGCAGCTTCCTTATCTGATCGCGATCCGATCACGATGTTGCGATGGCTGCAGGGGCCAATCAGTTGGGAGACTATTCCGGCATCGGTCATGATCCATTGGCAGCGGGTGAAACTGCACAGGAGACCGTGCGCGATGCCCTCCCCTCAGAAGATGAGGTGAGGTCAACGTCCTCAGATGACAGTTCAGAATCGGCTAGCTCAGATGCCGAGCCTGCGGCGGAAGTGGAAGATGCAATGCCCTCAGTCTCTGCAGATATTCCCGGGCCTTGTTGGATGAACAAGAAGAGCAAAACCGTGCACAAAGTTGGCATGGCAGATGATACCACATTTTGTGGTAGGCGCACAGGTGCTGGGACATTTCATTATTTGAAAGAGGGCACCTCGACGCTCAACCCTAGGTGCACCATGTGCTACCGAGCAGATTTGATTTGCTCGCGGGATGCAATGGCGAGCCATCTTAAAGAGATGGCAGATCGCAAGAAGCGCTGAGCAGAATGCTGCTGGGGTCAAAAGAGTGTGGAATGCCACACACCCGAATGCGGGTATGTAGTGCAGTGTGCTGCGCGCCCTCATGGAATGCCATGAGCTGTTTTGACCCTTCAGTTTTGCGTCACAGTTTTCTTCATTTTTATTTCGTGAATGTATCATGCAGTGATGATTTGAATTGACATGTAAACTTGAATGCAAGTTTCGCACATGTTCTTGACAGCTTTGGGATGCCATCTCTGTCATGCACTGCGCAGGCTCAGTTTCCATGTAGTGGATTGGATGGGCTTCGACATGACATGCAGAGCATGCAACTCACTTGGCAGTCTCAAGTGTCAAATTTTCTGTTGGTTTCTGCACCCCACGAAGTGGTGTCCCAGTAGCCAAAGGCTCTAGGTTTTAACATGCCTCCCCAGGACTTCGTGGGGTCCGTTGGTGGGCCGCCGAAAATCAGAACCCAAGAGAAAAGTTGTTTGTCTCAAGCATTCATGTCATGGTCGAAGTTGATTCAGAATTTTTCCTAAGCCTCATTTCTTTCACTCAGAGGCATTGAAGCCATGTCTCGTGCAACGATTACTGAATCGGTTGCAACATTTGAGCAGCGTGCAAATGATGCACGTTTGGGACAGGAATGGATCGATGCATTCAAAGTCAATAATTTGGCCACGTTAGCAAAGCTTTGTTATGCTGTGACTTTGCCAGGCACGGCACCCTCAGATGCTCAGGTGGCTGGTTTGATGCAGCAGCTTAGACCTGGCGTGGCTCCTAGTTTGGCAGATACTTCGGCGATCAAACAGTTGATTTTTGAAGCTCAAACATTCATGGTTTACTCTTTGAAATCGGCAGTGCAGGGTGATGAGGAAACCAAGAAGCTTGCTCCAGCAGAAAGACGCGTCAGGCTTGAGAAGCAAAGAGCTGAATTGACAGGGATCACCATTGCAGGTCCCTTGGAACCGGCACATGCACTGTATGACCTTTGCACTGCTATGGTGGAGTCCAATGAGATTAAATACATAAGTCCAACAAAGTGTTTGTCCCTGCAGCAGGAGCTTGCAGGTGCAAAGCCCGAACGTGAAGTCCAGCTAGATGCAACAAAGACAAATTTGGTTGTGAAGGAACAGCCGATGGTTCGTGAGATCACCATTGCATCTGATTTGGCGTTGCATCAAGCAATGACTCGGAGGGCTCTGGCATTAGATTTGGTGGGCCTGGCGACCTTCTCAGTGGTGCAGAGGTGGCATGACCGGCTCTTCGAATTGTATGCTCAGTCTCCAGCCCCAGGTTTCGTGAAGGTATCGCAAGCTCAGCTTCTCAGAGCGGACAGACATAGCTATCTGCGTATGTCAGAAACATTCAAAGGCTCATTGAAGAATGCGCCAGAGGGTAAGATGCCTATGGATGATCTCTTTGATGGTTTGCACACAGATGTGTCGGTCACCTACTTCTTGTTGCCGGTGGCGGCCTCAGCAAGCCATCACAGTGACAAAGGTGCTTCTGCCGCAGCATCATCAGCTTCAGACAACAAAAGATCTGCGGACAAAGCGCCTCTTTCAGCGGGTGCAAAATCGAATCCGACCAAGAGGGTCAAAGTCAAAGGTGCAGGGAAGTCAAGGGATCCAATGCCACAGTCTTTGAAAGGCTGTCGTTCGCGAACGCCAGAAGGAAAACAGATTTGCTTTTCCTACAACTTGGGTAAGTGTGCAAAAAAGGATTGCCCACGACTTCATGTTTGCTGCCATCCTGGATGCTATAAGCAGCATCCATACTCCGAACATCAGTGACAATTGGCAGCGGTTTCACCTCCACATGGCATCTCCTTTTCTAAGAAAAGGAACCTGGCTTCGCATAATGACAGCAGCCCGGTGGGATGCCGGAAAATGGCGAGCCTCAGTGATGGCTATTTTGCAGTGGAGCTTTTTTGTGGTACAGGTAACCTGACCCTTTCGATGAAACGCTTCCTTCCAGACAGTTTGGGTGTGGATCATGTTGTTAAACAACAACGGGTAAAAGTCATTCCCTTGGATTTGAGTTTGGATAGTGCGCAGCGTTTGGTGGGCGAGTGGAGCTCGCCGCAGTGCATATGGGTACACTTTGGCATTCCATGTGGCACGGCTTCAAAGGCCAGGCTTCGGCGACTCTCTCGAAAACAGCATGGGCCACCAAAGTTGCGCTCAGGACGATGGCCTGATGGTTTGCCGTGGTTGCGAGGTGTCTCCAGAGTTAAAGTTCAAAAAGCTAATGCTCTCTACAGCTTCATGGTGCGTCTCATCCTTCAACTTGATAAAGATCATATTTGTTGGACTGTTGAAAACCCGTGGACGAGTTTTCTGTGGGAAACATCCATTTGGCAAAGACTTCAACACTTGCATCCACACTATGTCGAGATACACAATTGCATGTATGGCGGCGCGCGTTTAAAGCGAACATGCTTGGCATCGAATAATCCTGTGGTATTACACATGCAGCGAGTGTGTGATGGGCAACATGAACATCAGCCATGGACAGTTCAAAATGGAAAGTTTGACACTTCATTGGAGGCTGAATACACCCCACAGTTTGCACGTGCATTAGCCACAACAATTGTTGCGTCCTTGGTGCCGGCCTCAGAGTTTCTGACGTTTACCGCACACTCCGAAAAGCTGAAGTTGTCTCAATTTTCTTCAATTGCTACACATAAGCAGCCCAAAACCTTGCCTCCCGTGGTGCCCGAGTTTGCTCACTTTGTGGTGCTTCACAGCCTTTCATGTTCTTTGCTGAAAGTGAATGCGCAATCTCAGCTCATGCATTGTACCAAATTGAGCTTTGCTGGGGGCGAGGTGGTTTTGCCTTGTGGTAGCAAACAAATGCGTCTGACAATCAATAAAGGGGGTGTGGTCCGTCAGCCGAGCTTTGAGATTGTCAATCTAAAGTCATTGCATAATTGGGGCGATTTGGAGCATGAGGAAGCTTCAGTCAATTTTTCAGGCACTTTTTTGGTGGGTGAAGTTAAATTTTCAGAGAGCTGTGCTTGTGAACCGATGCAGCTAGACGTGGCTGCCATTCCTTCGGATTCAGTCTTGGACACTTGTGATAGAGTTTTTGGCATTGGTTGGTCGGAGGACCAATTCGTGTTACAGGCTTGTCACAATGGGCACCCATTTGATGCTTTTAGTGGGATTAATTCTGAAGTGAAGCGAGCTTGTGATTTTCTGGCATCGGCTACGGACGCTCAAGTTATTGACTTCAGATTCCAGACTCTCAAAGTCTGGTTGGCAAAAGTCAAGGAGTTGCAAGGCAAGGAGCGTGAGTTAAAAGCACAAATGTTACCCTCGGTTCGGCATATCTTGGCTGGCAAGAGGCTGGAGTTCATGAGATGGGTTATTCAGGAGTTTGGGTATCATGATGTCCAGTTGGCGGATGATGTCATTGCGGGATTTTCTTTGGTGGGAGATGTTCCAAAGTCGCATGGCTTGCCGGCAAAATTTGTTCCTGCGCAGCTGGCGGTGGAAGACTTGCATATCCATTCCAAGCGGTCCCACATTGCGATCAGGCACATGACAAGGTCTTCAGGCGATTTGGAAACTGATGCTCAGCTGTGGGACAAGACGCTCACAGAGGTGGATGCGGGTTGCTCTCTGGTCCGCATGCATGGGAATCCTTGGAGTCTGATGCTTCGGTTTCCAGAAGGTTTCCTTTGGTGCAGTCTACAAAGTTGCGTCCTATAGATGACTACAGCCAATCGCAGGTGAATTCTACGGTTACGTTGCACGAAAAACCCACTGTAGACAATCCTGATGTGGTATGCTCAATCTTTATCTACTTCATGCAGGCTTTGGCTAAGTGTGGTAAAGGCACAGAGTTGGTGGCACGTTCTCTGGATTTGACGTCAGCATATAGACAGTTGTGTATTGAGCCAGCGTCCTTCAAGTATGCTTATGTCTCGGTGTTTGACCCAACCACATGTGCTGCAGCGCCCTTCCAGCAGATTGCATTACCATTTGGATCTCGAACAGCGGTGAGTGCCTTCATCAGGTGCGCCCGTTTCCTCCAGTGGGTGGCGGCAAGATGTCTGGCAATTCCTATGTCTTGCTACTTCGATGATTTTGTTATTCCTTCAACACCAGGGCTTGCTGGCAATACGCAACAGGCGTTGAGCTTGATGTTTGATTTGCTAGGTTGGGCCTATGATCGTGGTGGAGACAAAGCAGATGTGTTTTCTTCTTCGGTGGCAGCCTTGGGGGTTGTGTTTGACCTCTCGTCTGCCTCAACGGGAACGGTGTTGGTAGCCAACACGTCGAAGCGGACAGCGGAAACAGTCGAACTGATAGGTGCTACTCTGGCCAATCAAAGGTTGTCACATAAACAAGCTTTGGTCCTAAGGGGCCGTCCTGCCTTTTGTGATGCTCAAGTTTTTGGTAGGACGGGTCAGTTGGCACTTCAGGCTATTACGCAACATGCATACAAGAAGCCTTTTGATCCAGTCTTTAGTGATCATTTGAGGGATGCTTTGTTGGCGTTGCGGTTGCGAATTTCGTCAGGGCCCCCTAGATCGGTGAGCTCGCTGGTTTTGGAATATTTGTGTATCTTTACAGATGCGGCATTTCAGGATGACTTTTGGGGGGGCCTTGGTGGTGTGATTTGCACTTCAACTGGCAGCATTCTCTCCTGGTTTGGCATGGCCCTATCTTCAGAGGTTGTGTCGAAATTGATGCGAAAGGAGCAACAAGTGGCAATTGGTGAGTTGGAAACTTTGGCTGTTCTTTTGGCGGCCAATATTTGGAGAAGCTATATTGGTGCCAAACGCATTCTTTTCTTTGTGGACAATGAGGGGTCAAGATTTTCCTTGATTAGGGGTTACTCTGCTTCTAAGGTCATTTCCTTCATGTGCTCCGTCCTCACATCACTGCTCGATGACCTCTTCATCTTTCCTTGGTATGCACGAGTGCCATCCGTATCAAATATAGCAGATCCGCCATCCAGGGGAAAGCCCCATGAATCTCTTCCTGAATGCAGGAAGGTGGATCAAGAGAGACTGCAGCTTGTCCTTGAGGAATGCCTTGAGAAGGTGGTGAATTTTCACTTCGTGGTGTCTTGACATTCGCCACAATGAGAGGGGTGGGGTCCGTGGCCGAATGCGGGCTATGGATCTCTCCAAATTCGTAAAGGTAAAAAGAATTATTTAAAGCTGCCAGTCTCCGAGCATGTGCGCTTCGAATTTTAAATTTTAATACAAGAGTTTATGTATATAAACGTATATACATGCGTACCCTTTGCGATAGCGGATTTGCTATTGGTATTTCGCGTAGGATCAGAGAGTTACAAGCGCGGTTTTGTGTATAGAAAATAAGTGGCTTTTCAGCGTGCTGACGTCACTTTTTTTCTTGACACAAAAAGGATGTGGTGACATCCTAGGGCTTGTGTTCTCTCTTCCCGGAGGGTGCTCCTGTTCGTTGTGGGTTGTTAGGCCCAGGTGTTGGGCCTATGTTATATGTGAGCCTTTATGTTGGTCTCACTTTTGTCTTCTTTTTTTTGTAGCTTCCCACAACCTTTCATAAGTAGAACACCGATGAAGCGTGTATGTCCTTGCAGTTCCTCTCAAGGGTGGGTAGTGGCGGGTGCGATGTTCGTTTCATGGTGGTTCTCTTTTTTGAGCCTCCCCCCCACCTTGCTGTTCGACAGATTGCTGTCTGTGTGTCAGTCTTGTGTCTGACGTTTCTTAGGGTTCCAGAATGCTGGCCCCTTTGTTTTTTTTTCATGTTATTTGTCAGAATGCTGACATTTCCCTGTTACAACGCCTCGTTGTTCAGTTTTGTTTGGTAGGCCGGTCTATTGTACACAGACCTTAAAAGGCCCCCGAATGCGGGCTATGGATCTCTCCAAATTCGTAAAGGTAAAAAGAATTATTTAAAGCTGCCAGTCTCCGAGCATGTGCGCTTCGAATTTTAAATTTTAATACAAGAGTTTATGTATATAAACGTATATACATGCGTACTCTTTGCGATAGCGGATTTGCTATTGGTATTTCGCGTAGGATCAGAGAGTTACAAGCGCGGTTTTGTGTATAGAAAATAAAAAATAGGAGCAGCAGAAAGGGAATCAAGAATGCAGGCCATCAGACAGGAGCTTGGAGGACTCCAGATTTCAGGAGACAATGAGCCGTCTTATGCCCTCTTAGATCGAGCTTGCCAATTGCGCGAACAAAACACCGTCAAGTTCTTGGAGCCAGCAACCTGCGCTTCCCAGAACCAAGAAATTCAAGGAGGCGCCAAATCCAAGGAGCTGGCATTTGAAGGAGGGGCTTTAGTGGTTCTTGCAAAAGATGACAAGACTCAGGCTCCCACTGACTCAGTGATGAAATTGCACCAGGCGTGGAATTGCTTTGAAGTTTGCGCGATTGATGACCTTTGAGCAACATTCAACGTGGTGCTCATGGTTGTTTGCCTCCATGCAAAGAGATGCTCTTCCAGGATACGTCAAGCCGTCGCTACAGTAATGCAGTGCGACAAAGCTGCCTGGACCCGGTTGGGCTCCACCATGACATCAATAAGGAATCGTCCTGACGGAACGCTAGCTGTCATCCCATGATAGCGCTTTAAACCCCAGAGCAAAAAGAAAGTTTGAAAAACTTTCAGCCATGCCTTCCTTCACTTGTGAAAAGCGAAAATTACTTGCGTTTATTGAACTTAAACTTGTTTGCCTTCGCTTGTGAAAAACAAAAATTACTTGTGTTCAAAAACAAAACTTTGCTGTGCCTTGTGTCAACTACGGTACAGTCAAGTGAAACATAACTCTCTAGTGACACTTCTTTTGCAGTGATGTCAGTGTGCATGTGCAGCCATTCGAAACTAACTTCTCTAGTGCAGTTGAGTTCAGTGATGCTTGTTCCACTTGTGTCCTTTGTTCGATGTGATCGTGCCGACTTCTCTGCAGGGTGGGTCGAGGTGGGCTAAGCTCCATCGTTTGAAGCTGGCCGTCATGGGGCGACCGGGTGCGTTGGCCAAGGGCGGGGCAGCCATGGCTAGCCCTCTTGCGCTGGGCCGCGATTTGCCTCCAGTGCGTTGTACCATCCTGCAGTTCTTCTGCTTCACTGGTTGTGTGATCCTGGTCACATGCATGAGCTTGTTCCTTTGGCTGTTGCACCTTTGACTTTCTTCGGTTAATCTGGGGAAATGGAGCCTCATGACGTTGGTCCTTCTGAGCATGATGATCTCTTCGGTGCTGGGCAGTCAGAGCATGATGATCTCTTCAGTGTTGGGCCCCAGCATCAGTTGGAGCTAAATGCAGTTGAGCAAAATGGCTTGGAAACCTCGTTATCCTCATCAGAGTTTCATGTGCTGCCTTCACCACATCATGGCAACTATGGTACCCAGTTCGGTTATGATCTTGACTCTGCTTCAGATATGGTTGGACGCGCTTCGAACCGGGACTGGACGTTTGTTGGTGAAGATGGACTTGCCGGTAATGCAATTTCTCATGTTGAAGATGAGGACTTCGAGGAGTGTAGCAGGTCGGAGCCAGTCTTGTCTGCAAGCCAATTTCAAACGAGTTTCTCTCGTGATTTGTTGATGAACTGCACTGCTACTTCATCGATTGTTATGCCTTGGGAGCGAGGGGTCTTTCGTCAGATCTTTAGCGATGAAGCCATTGAAGTTTCGGTGCCTCAGATGCCTCTGGATGACTTTGACTTTGGGACTCATCTTGACATGGAACCCCGAGAGCTTGGTGAAGTGGTTGCATCTGCTGCGAGCTTCAGTCATGATCTACCGGTCTTCATGAGTGTCATTTCTCATACAGATGATGTTGACCATTCAGAGAAGCTCTCCATGCAACGTGAACGTGCTCTATCCAAGTTGCTTGTGGTGATTGAGTTTGCATTGGATGCCAGTTCAACTGGTAGGCACATTTCTTCAGCATGTGGTGGAAGATCAATGCGTGCTGATGCTTTCCAAATCCTGGATGCAGTTGTTGGGCTTCGTTCCCCTCACACCATCTTGAAACGTGCAAATGCTCTTCAAGGTTTCCTTCAGTGGTGTGCACATCATCGAATTGGAGGTGACAATCCTTTCAATGAGGAGACACTGTGGGCCTACTTGAGTGATCTCAGGGACAACCATGCTTCTCCCACCAAGGGTGAGTCCGTCCTTTCCGCTATGAGGTTTGCCCGCTATGTGCTTGGGTTCGAGACGTTGGATCCTGCTATGAACAGTCGACGTTTGGCTGGCTTGTGCGAGCTGATGGCAGCTGGGAAGAGGACCCTTCGTCAGGCAAAGGTCCTCACAGTGCACCAAGTCCTTCAGTTGCATTCCATGTTGTTGAATGACTCAACCCACAACTGCGACCGAGCTCTATGTGCTTACTTCTTGCTGGCACTTTATGGACGATGCCGTCATAGTGACCTTCTGATGATCCACAGTGCGGAACTCGACCTGACAGAGCATGGGGGCTTCATTGTTGTGCGTACCAGCTGTCATAAAACTGGACGTACTGCTGCCTTGAAGAGTACCTTGCTTCCAATCATCATCCCAGCCAGGGGTGTTGATGGGTCAGTGTATGGACGCGTTGCTATGGATATCTTCTCGCGCCTTGGTGTGGACACCTACTCGACTGGTGGTCGGCCCCTGCTTCCTGCGCCTGTTGGAGATGGGAACTTCATGAGGCGTGGCATGAGCTCCAAGGAATCCTCTGAGTGAAGGCGAAGATGATGAGCTCTCTTCTGAAGATGAACCACCGCCTCAGTGCACACACCGGGTCAAACGGTTCCGTCCCAAGATTCCTTCTAGCGAGGTTTGGTATGCCCATAAGAAATCGAAAATCCTTCACAAGAAAGATGAGGAGACGTCCTTGTTTTGGGGCCGCACCTATTTGATGTGTGGCAAGCTGCTGAAGGATTCGTATGAGTTGTGCTCAGAATCGAGCGCAATGAACGCACTTTGCAAAGTGTGCGTGCAGAGGTCATAAATGGGCATTCTTGGTCGACCCTGATGTTGTGTGGTGGTTGATTTGCATCTAATGAAATTTTTGGTCACCATGACCTTTCTACGTGTGATGTAACACGTTGACTGCTGGATGATAGCATCATGATGCCGCATTGCACCTTTGAGTTCTGGACTCATTGGAATCAGTGGATGTCGCTGCAAATAGCGGGATGTCCGCTTTGTGCTGGATGCAGCACTTAGAGCCCGTGGTGTCGGCTCAAAGGTTGGGATGATCCGACCCTTATATTTCATGGAAACATGTTTCAATTTTTAACACGCAACATGCCATGTCGATCCTTTCAGAAGGCTTTAGAAAACCCCAACCTCATGACCTGCCGATTTAAGTTTCCCTGGACCTGTTCATGGGGGTCCCTTGTGAATTTCCAGTTTTCTTCATGCGAACCTTGTGCATTTGAAACTCACATTGTTGCATTCAATGATTGAATTTGCTTCATGGTATGCTGCAACTCTGTGCATCCTATCCACCTCCTTGCACCTTCGCCCGCCATGGTCTCAATTGTTGACAGTGAAGCCCAGTTCGACTCCAGGTTAGAGCAGACACGTGTGCCACAAGCTCAGCGCAGGGCCTTGAAAGCTTCTGGAATCTCGACCATCGCCAGTTTTGCATATGCATTTGGGCAACCAGGACAACCCATCGACAACGATGCCTTCGCAAATTGGGTCAACTCGCTTTCTCCCAACTCCAGTGTAGGAGCAGTTGCATCTTTGAAACGCCTCCTTTTTGAAAGTCAGACTCAGCTGCTTGCATTGCTGAAGGAACAGGTGACCTCTCCTGATCCAGTGGTTCCTCGAAAGGTGCCACATGCTGAACGTGAATCCAGGTTAGCAAATCTTCGTGCTAGATTGGTTGGGGTCATCGTAGAGGGGCATTCTGAACCCGCGCATTCGTTGGTCGACCTGTGTTGCCAGATGTTTGAGCAAAATCAACTCAAGTACATAGCCCTGGAGAAATGCTTCAGCCGTCTGACAGAACTCACAGTAACGTCGAGCAAGCAGTCGAGTAAGCAGCTGGAAGTCGAGTCGTCCAAGATTGTGTTGAAGGACAAGGAGGCCGATCATGAGGTGTCAGTGCAATCATCTTATCAGGCGTTGGAGGCATTCAAGAGGCGGGGCCTTGCTCTTGACATGGCTGGGGTGATGACGTTTCAGAATCATGATCGATACGTGCAGAAATTGTTTGCTCATTTGAATCGTGAGCCACCTCAAGGATATACCAGGTGTTTGGTATCGCAACTCATCGCTGCAGACAAGCTGGTGTGGTCAAAGAACATTGAGGTCAACACAAAACCAAGACCTGATGTAGCCGGGGTGTTGGCCCTCGACACCAAACTCATCGAGGCACTGGAAGGTTATGAAGTCAGCTTTTCGTTATTGCCGCTTCCAGCCAAGGCATCCGCACCTTCGAAGCCAGCCTCGTCATCAGCAGTGCCCCAGCATCAGCCGAAACCCCAGGGTGCCAAAAGTGGAAAGAAAGGGAAACGGTTCATGGTGTATGGACATGCCGCCAAAGGAAAAGGTAAGACCAAGTATGAGCAGCGCATCCCACAAGCCATTCGCGATGCGGGAGGGGTTGCAAACAACTGTGATGGAGATCCAGTGTGCTTTGACTATTCATTAGGAAGTGTCAGGCCAAGGTTGCAGACGGAGCCAGGTGTGATAAAGGTTACCATGTGTGTGCCATCTGCTTTGGTCTCCATGCCATGTCAAATCACAAGAAGGCCTGACTATCTAGCCAGGCCAAGAAAAGGGTTGGAAGTTTTGCTGAAGTTCCACATGTGCATCCGAACATCCTCGCATCCTACATCCGTTTGTTGTCGAGATTTGTGCTGGATCCGCCAGAGTGACTTTGGCGCTCCAGAGGCTGGGCATGTCTTCATCATTCGGTGTCGATCGAGTTGTGCAAAAGCATGCAGGTAAAACACTTGTGGCTGACTTGACTTGTGACTCTGGGCAACGCCTTTGTAACATGTGGCTTTCTGATCCCAATCTCTTAGGCATCTTTGTTGCGCCACCTTGCGGCACTTGCAGCCGGGCCAGAGGCATCCCAATCGTCTTGCCCAATGGGTATCGGATTGCAGGGCCAGCACCTCTTAGGTCCGACACATACCCTAATGTGCTCCCCGGCTTGCGTTGGATCGATCGAGCAAGGGTCAGCAGTGCAAATAAACTTTATCACTATGTTACCCAAATCGCTTTGAGGTGCATCAAACGAAATCTTGTTGTTTGCATTGAAAATCCACGTTCGAGCTTGTATTGGAAAACAGGTTTCTACAAGCCACTCAAAAGGTACCTGCGATTCATCGCGCACCAGGCCTGTGCATACGGTTCAAATCGACCCAAGCATACTGCTTTGGCTCACAATCATAATGCTTTTAACTCCATCAACAAATCATGTCCGGGGGAGTCATCATCTCACTTCCATAAACCATGGGGGATTGTTGCAAAAACCAAGCGGTTCGCCAAGACCGCTTTATCCGATGAAGCTTGCATACTCCATTGGTTTTGCCTTTGCCACCGCTGCCAAGGATTATGGTTGGAAGCCTCCCCCTGATGCCATGGTTCCCCCTGATGAAGTTTCGTATCATTACCTCCGGTCCCTCACCGGAGTTCAGCCAAAAGCTAGCAAACTACCCCCTGTACATAGGAGTCCCTGGCTACTTGTGGACTTATACCTTGACTTTAAGTAGACTTGCCGATGGCATAAGTCTGGAGATAGTGTGATAAGTAAAACTAAGTAGGAGATTTTTTGGTGTTACTTATAAGTTTGTTAGCTACTTATAAGTAGGGATAAGTATTGTAAGGTGGTGGAAAATGAAAAAGTTATTTTTACTTAGCTACTTGTGTTTTTCTTGGATTTTGAAGGTTTTACTAAGTATGTTTCTTTTTTTGCATCAGGATTGTACGTTTGCAGTTGTCATGGCTCAAGTCTTGAAAGAAATAATTTCGAGCCAAAAGTTTTTGCATGGTGTCCAGACCCTACCGCATTACGATGAGCTGCAACGAAAACAATTGGAGCGACTGAAGCCAATTGTGCAGAAACATGTCATCTCCGTGGAGATGGCGGGTCGCATCATGGAGTCATTCTCCGATGTCTGGAGTGTGGAATTTTAGATGAGTTGAAGGCATTGATTGCCGAGCAAAGTGAGTCGCAGGAGGATCTGTCAAGCCGTGCTGGCTTACAAGACTTTACCGCTTTGCCAAACTACTTATCCAAGGAATGGTGGCAGAAATTAGAATCTCGTGCCGCTGGAGTTTATAAACTTGAGCTCTTGACCAATTTTGCTGCCACTTTGGGTCTGAAGAATCCAACGGAGGCGTCCTATGGCGCTTTGGTGGCATTGTCTTTCTATGCGGACAATGCTGAGGTGTGGCCAGAATCGGACCAGGTGAAGCTCCTGAGGGCACATAAGGAGCGCATGCGTCGTTGGTTGAATAAGGCAGCAGCTACCAGTGTCCGTTTGGAAATTTTGCCCGAGAATCCAGAGGAGATTCCAGTTTCTTTGTTTGCTTCTGTGTTTCCTACGGGATTGACTCCAGGTTCCCCGGAAATCATGGACAAAGCAAGGTTGCGGCGGGTCATCGCTGATTTCCGTTTGAGGGCACCTGAGGAAGGGATGTCTTCCATGCCAGCGATGCCGGCAAGTGGTCAAATCGATCCTGCTGCTTTGGTGCATGCTGCAGCCACCCTAGTGGCGCGTGTGCAGACACAATCTCGACAGAACGAGGTTGACATACCAGGCTTTCGCATGTTGGAGCATCGGGAAGCACAGGTGACCATGGCAGCGCCTGCAGCGTTGGCTTTGGAAGACAGCAAGCCTGTTGCTGCTGCCTCGCAGCCCATTGCAGAGGCAGAGAATCGGCAGGAAGCACTGAGCGAGACCTGCGGGCCTCAAGCTGCAAGCGCCGCTTTGCGGGATGAGTTGAACAATAAAGGGAAGGGGCGGCTGGAAAAAATGTGGAGGTAAGGCCTTGCAAGAAACCTGCCACATGCTGTCGAAAGGCAAGATCAAGGGTATGGCAAGGCCTGCGGCTGTTGTGAAAAAGATTTTGAAGCGTCCCGCTGCTGTTGCGGCATCGTCCTCTGCGGGAGGCATGTCGGAGGGGGGATACAATGATCGCAGGGACGCCTTGTTGAAGAAGATCCCAAAGGATGTCTTGCAGCGATGTAAAGGTGGTTGCTCCAGGTGCTATCATCGCGCTTATTGCACTGTTAGCTGCTGGGCGCGTAGAGGTTACAAGTAGCGGGAACCCAATTTTCCGTGTCATGCTGAGGAAAAGCAAATGGCATTGAGGGGTTGGGTCGCATGTGACATTTGAAACAACATGTGTTAGGTGAAGAAACATTGCATGCCATGCACAGCTGGTCTGTTATATGTCGGCACACATATAGGCTCAAGTGTTTATGTTTCCCGTGCTTCGCAGACGCTGCCTGGAGGTGCGCTGGGTTTTGTTTGTTGGAATTTGAATCTTGATTGTTTGATGACGTATAGATGATTCGATTTTTATTATTTTCTTGTATAGATTTCCAAGTGATGAGTACATTTCTTGTGATTACTGACTCTTCTGGTCTGACTCGATGTCATGTCATGTTTTCCTTGGGGGGACACCCTGTCGCACCGACATGTTATTTGTGCCTCGCATCACCTGCGCGGTGATGACCGGAAACATCTGCGGGATGTTTCGCTATCATCTATGTGATGGGATCAAGTACCTGCGTGGTGCTTGCGTCGGATCACCTGCGAGGTGATCACACATCTGCGGGATGTGTTCTCCCACCTGCGTGGTGAGGGCAAGCACCTGCGTGGTGCTTGCAACAGATCACCTGCGAGGTGATCGCACATCTGCGGGATGTGCTCTCCTCACCTGCGTGGTGAGGGCAAGCACCTGCGTGGTGCTTGCAACGGATCACCTGCGAGGTGATCGCACATCTGCGGGATGTGCTCTCCTCACCTGCGTGGTGAGGGCAAGCATCTGCGTGGTGCTTGCAACGGATCACCTGCGAGGTGATCGCACATCTGCGGGATGTGCTCTCCTCACCTGCGTGGTGAGGGCAAGCACCTGCGTGGTGCTTGCAACGGATCACCTGCGAGGTGATCGCAGATGCATCTGCGGGATGCGTCGTGCTCACCTGCGTGGTGACCACAAGCACCTGCGTGGTGTCTAAAGGATCACCTGCGTGCTGATTACGCTGGCTACTTGCGCGCTGGACGTGCTCTAAAAAAGTTGAAACGTGTCTTCATGTATATCTGATATATTTTGCAGCAGTATAGATCCGGATGCACGGAGTTGCCAGATATATTTATACTGATCATGTCAATTCGTTTCGTGTTGGCCAGGTGAATGCTCATCAAGGCGTCGCCGTTCAGTCCGATGGAGAAGCGCCAATCCTCCTCCGAGGAGGAGGTGTCTGCAGACCTTCTGGCTGCAGAGGAAGAAGAAAAGGAACCCGAGGGAAAGAATGACCGCAAGGCGCGCTTAGTGCCAAAGAAAGGCAGTCAGGAACGCGGACGCGCCGAGCGGCGTCGCTCACGATCCCGTCGGTCGCGCTCCCGTGACCGAAGGGACCGCTCAGACAGGAAAGAGAAGAAGGAGAAAGAAAAAAACACAAGAGACGGTCTCAGGCAAGTCGTGACAGGCGCGGATCGCAGGCTCCGCCGAGTCCTGCGGGACCACCGCCACCGAAACCGGGGGAGAAGTCTCCGCAGAAGCAGAGGGCGCACGCTGACACAGGCAAAGGTGGCGGAAAAAACCTCAAAGGAGGTCCAAAGAAGCAGGTCTGCAAGATCTGCGGCTCACGCGTCGCGGGGACTTCATCCGCTCTGGATCAGCATCAGTGGCTGTCCGAATACTGCTTGGCTTGGCAAGCCTACGAGCGGATGACCCCTTACCAGAGAGACCAGCAGGGATCGTGGGAGAAAGCCAAGAAGATCGGACAGGATGTGAAGAGCAATCGTGTGCAGCTGGATGCCACGTCTGCGGGACGTTCTGCACAGACGATGACCGGCATTGTGCCAGAGAGGGCTGTGAGTGTCGCGTCTTCCCATCGTGAGCGTCCTCCGTCACTTCCGCGTGAAGTGTCGGTGCCTCGCAAGGGTCACGGACGACGCAAGGACGCTCGGTCCTCCTCCAGCAGCGGCCGTGCCGCCAAGAAGGAGAAGAGAAGCCGGCACAATGTTGTCATCAACTTTCATGGCTGACCTGGGACGTGAGTGCGGAAGCTGCTATATAGAGGATACAACATGCACTGGAGACGTGGCAAAAAAAGAAACTGCGCTGCTTCTTCTGGGGCTGGGTTTGGGTTTAACGACAACTTGGGGAGATGCATATGGTCTATGTGCCGTGTAATGCGTGTTTGTATAATGATCTGCACGACATGTAATCCGGGTTTGACACGCTCCTGAGTGCTTCGATGTGCATGGTTCCGTTTTTGTTTGGCTCAAAGTCCAATACTGAAAACGAGACGTGGGGAAGATGGCTCCTACCGACTTTTGCATCTCAAAGGAAAGACTGCGGGTCTTTCGTGATTGCCTCAAAGCAACCACGACCACTCCTGAAGTTCTTCCGGAGGGTGATGACCGTTGGATGGATGGTTGGAGAATTGTGGAGGAACTGTTGGATCAAGCTGAAGGCATGGCGCACTCGGAAGGACAGCTGGAAGCTGCGAAATGTATTGAAAGATGCAATCGCATAATTGAGAAAGTCATGTCTGAGGACATGGCTGTCCTTCCCGATGTCTGTTGTCTCTGGACTCGGAACACAGACTGGGATGGGCACTGGCCACGCTTCGTGGAAAGGGTCGGGGCATATCACCTGCGCCAGGTGGAAGTAGCGATCCCAGCTTTGGAGCAGCTGCGGCTGCGCTGGCAGGAGGAGACTGAAAACAGTCTCCCAGAAGCCTCGTGGTTGTACCAGGCTGAGTGCCAGCTAGAAAAGATGAGGGAGACTTTGCTGGCGTTGAATCTGTAGGTTTTGGAATGTGTCCGAAATGTGTCCGAAATGTGTCCGAATGTGTCCGGAAAAAGGAATGTGTCCGGGTTTTAATTATACTTTAAAGAGAAATGTGTCCGGAATTTGGAAAACAAATGTGTCCGGAGTGGCACCAAAATGTCCTAATTTTGGCCACTTTAGGTTCGAACGTGCTGCTCCGAAATGGATGACTGTCGTTTGCTTGCCGGATGTGGTCTCTCTCATTTACCTGCTTGTTGTGCGCAAGTTCCTTCGACTTCACTTCTCCGCAGCCATTTGGGCTTTTTGACCGGTGATTGCTCGTCCTCTTTTGTCAGGGTGTCTGGCGTCATGGCGGACCTTCGCATGTGTCGCTTGTGCGGCCTGGAGCACGCTTCTGCTGCGGGCAGGATGCATGGTCGCTCCTTCACTTGCACTGGTTGCTGGGCAGCTAAAGCGATGCTGCGGCGCAACCTGGGGGAAAGGACTGAATTGAAAGATTTCAGTCCGGCCGAGACGCACTCCTTCTTTCGCGGCATTGCGAAGGAAAAGGAGAAGCAGGGAGGTCGCATTCAGTGGGTCACCGTGCGGGCAACACTTGTGAGATCCCTGACAGATCGCAGGATCTCAAGTTTTCGTGCCACGTGCACCCAAAAGGAGTTGCCTCTCTCGGTCTGGGTTAACCAAGGCTGGGATGCGACCCTTGTCGAAGCGTGTCCTAATCGGTTTTCCGAGGAACTGAATACGCAAGTCTATGCTGTCCCCGTGCGGGAATTGTCGTGGGGCGAAGAGTATGCGAAAATTGAGGAGCAACTCCTGCGACATGAGAGAGATGGACAGAAAAAAAAAGGTGGAAAAAAGAAAAAGGATGACGTTGCCAACGCAGATGTATCAACCGATGGAGAATTGGATTTGCCTTCTGCGGAAGGCAGCGTGTCGGACAAGAAAGGAAAGCCGGAGGTGGACCGCAAGAAGTTGTTGGCTAAGAACGTTGCGTTAGCTGACAAAGCAGCTAAGGCCTTGGGTCCCTTGCAGAGCACGGCCACAGGTTTCTCCAAGTTGCTGGAACGAGTGCAAAAAAGCGGCTGTGAGATTCCGGAGGGAATCACAAAGTCGAAAGAAGATTGCATGGCCAAGCTCGAGACCTGGGCGACGGCAGCTCGTGAGTGCATCAACATGCATGAGTCGACCCGCGAGCTTTGGAAGGATGCAGGTGGCGACCTGATGCCGTTGACGGCGTTGCCGTTCGAAGGCAATGATGTAAAGTTGCTGCTAAAACAAGCAACGGAAGTGCAGAGCGCATTGCGTTCCCTGCTGCCCAAAAAGGAGGCAAAGGCGAAGGCGGAGCCCAAGGCCAATGCTGCGGCGAAAGCATCGCCCAAGAAGAGGGCAGCTCGCAGCCAGGACGCTGAGGGCGGTGAGAAGCGCCGCAAAACTGGCAAGAGCCCCGCCTGAGTCTCCGGACAAACTTTTGTGTGTGTGTCAGCTGCGATCCTTAGACCAGTTTCTTTTGGGGCTCTGTGTTGCTGTGAGCAGCAACATCTTTGGAAACGTGGATCGCACGCAGACAGCTTGTCCCTGTGAGGGTGCTGGGTATAAGACAGCGTCTCATATGGAATAGAGCTGTAGTCGTAGATGGATCAGAGCGCACGGTCCTGCTGCTTCCGGGAAAAGTGCCGTGCTGTGTCTGAACCGGTTTGTATGCAAGAAACATGCCACTGTCATATCTTTCCATTCATGCACGAATTATTGAAATTTAGAATATATGTATATTTATATATAGGTTGCATGCATGCAAAACCCAAAGCGTGTCGTCGATTACAGTTTCATCACGTATATATAACGACTTGTCGTATAACGTGGCAGATTCGAACCTACGTATATAAGCCACTATATGATACATCTCAAAGAACCATCCTCGAAGGGAACCCGAAGTACCATGATTGCTAGATATATGTGTGCATTTCATGTTTCTCTTCTGCTGCATGTATGGTTCACGCGCATAGAGGACACATGAAAGCCAAACAGGCGGGGTCGAAAAAGAGCCATGGAGAAAAAAATTGTCTCCTTGATCCAAACGCCAAACCTTCGGAGCAATTCGAATTTCTGCGTGAAATTCGAGGTGTGACAGCGGACGCTGCGCGCCGGATTATCTCGCATCTGCGGGATGATGGGCAAGGACGTGGATCGTCGAAACGAAAACGGATAAAGTTTTCGAAAGTGAATGATTTTGTCACAACTGTGACGTTCGGAGATCCTTGTTGCCACATGGCTGTTACTTCTTTGCCGGAGTTGCTGCAAGCTAAGTGTGATGGATCGCCATTTTTTTCCTGAGACCATGGCATATGTTCTCAAAGAACATGGTCCGCAGTTGCATCTAGTGCTTGCTTGGGACGAAGCAACTCCAGGTAATGTTTTGCAACCTGATTTGCAGCGAAAGGCAGCAATGACGTATGGAGCCATTGCGCAGATGCCCGTGCTTTGGGCTGATGATGCTTGGATGACACTTGCTGTCATTCGGACTCGAGAAATGCAGAGCTGCGAAAATGGCTATCCACAGTCGCTTGTTCACTATTTACGGTGGCTGAGGCAGCAAGCCCAGCATGGCTTCACGCTCGTTCTGAATGAAGAACCAACCCTTTGCACCATTGCCAAAATCTCTCTGGTTGCTGACGCAGATGGCCTGCGTTTGCTCACCGGTTGCAAAGGAAGTTCGGCTCTGAAGCCGTGCTTCTTATGTCAAAATGTTTTAAACGGACATGACAAAGTGCAGAACCACGTGCACATCAGTTGCTGCGATGTGCATGCTTGCCACTTGCAAACGCAAGACAATATTATCCAGATCCAAAGTCACCTTCAAACCTTGCTGCATCGCAAGGAAAGAGAAGAAGCCGAAAAGCTACTGGGATGGCACCTGCATGCCTTGTCGGCTTCTATTTTAGCGCAAGAAGACCTCCGAAACTGGATTCCATTATCATCCTTGAGGTACGACGCCATGCACTGCTTCCTGGCAAATGGCATAGTACCTCAAGAATTGGGGCTCTGGTATAATGCTCTGTTGGACAAGACCTCCTGCGACATCGATACAGTACGCAGATACGTTCTGCAATGCTGGACAGCCTCCAAAGAGTCGACCTTGGACATCAACAAAATTTTCACAAAGAAAAGATGGCAGAAAGAAAGAGACTTCCGCGGAGATGCATCTGAAGCTCTATCAGTGCTACCTTTGATGGTTGCATTTTCCTGGGAAGTCATAGTGCCTGAGTTTCCAGCTATGCTTCCCCACTGCGAATCTTTGACGGCGCTGTTGGCGCTGATATGCTGCTGGACTGATGCCAAACGCGGTGGAAACCTTCAACTGAAAAGCATCTCGATGCAACGCTTGCAAAAAGTTCACCTCAACAAATTTGCCTCTGTGTATTCAATCGATGTTTGCCGTCCCAAACATCATTATTCTTTGCATCTACCAGTGCAATGGAATGCACACACACTGTGTGTGGACTGCTTTCCCGCAGAAAGAAAACACCGTCTCTTCAAAAGAATTGCAGAGACGTTGACAAGATTAGACAGATTTTCCGCTTCTGCCTTATTGGAAATGACTCACATAGACGTTTCTCCAAATGAGAACCGAGGTTCTTTCCTTCCGGTCCTGCGTGGACCAACTGCTCAATGCCATGCCCTGCAGACATGGTTTGGCCAAGACGCTTATGTTGCAACCTCTGTCGAATGCAAGGGTGTCACTTTTGCTTGTGGTCAATACAAGATTCTTTCGGCACAAAACGCAATAGAAATCCACGGTGCGGTGGAATCCCACGGCCGTTTTTTCTTTTGTGCCAACCACTGCAGTCGCTACCCGCTTCGACTCCAGCTATGTCACATTGGAAACTGCACCCGTCCAGTGACAATACATGGCTGTTGCCTCTTGACAAAGCTTTACAAACCGTGCCCGTATACTTCTTTAGGAAAACGCGCAAAGACGCTGACAGTGTTCTCACATGTCTACACGCATAATACCTGCGCGGAAAAAAAGAATCGGAGGTGCTAATTTGGCAATAATCGTGCAAAACCCAAAAAAACATACAAAAAAGTTATTTCTACTTATTTATACTTATTTCTACTTATATACTTGCTTATAACATAAGTAGCTGAGTAACTTAAACTCCTGTTACAACTGGACATGTAGCCGGGGACTCCTATGTAGTCTCCGAATTTAAGACCATTACTACTGTCCATCTTCCCCATGGTGAACTCCCCCCGGTTGCACCTGGCCAGAACCTTCAAAACCCTTGGAAGGGTCTTCCTGCTGGCGCCTGTCATCTTGAAAACCCTCCAGCTCGGTTAAGTAAGGGGATTGACACTAGTGATGGCGCACCTTGGCACTTTGGTGTTTTTCGGACCCCGCAACATTTGTGAAAGATGCAGTGGCTACAGGCCACCCCATCAGCAATGCTACGGTGCTACCTCATGCCCTTCAGTTGGCCATCGATAACACTCGAAGCACCTCTCCGCATGTACTTGCCAAGCAAAGACTCGCAACTCTGTCAAGTTGGTTGGACCGTGCTCGAAACCTTCAAAGTGATGAGTCTGCTCTTCATGAATCTTTGCACCCGTCCCTCGCCCACATTTTGAAGCCAAAGAGGTTACTTGTGTGGAAGGAGATGTTAGAATACCAGACATGGGTGTCTTCGATGAGGTTGTGGGTGGTACGGTTCTCACTGGAAAGTCCCCATATGTTGAGTGCTTTGACCAATCCTTCAAGCCGGCCAAGATCACCGAATCCGAGTTGCTGCAGTGTGCAAGTGGCGCTAGGGATGCCATTGTCTGGTCCACAAGGAGCTCGGGTGATGGTGTGATAGATGACGAGGTCTACAACAAGACTTTGGCCGAAGTTGAAAGTGGTTGGTTGCGTGGGCCGATCGCCCCTGCCGATTTGCCTTCACATGCAATAGTCAATCGTCGGTTTGGAATAAAGCAGACAAGTGGTGATGCCACCAAAGTTAGGTTAATTGATGACTTCTCAGCCAGCGGTGTGAACAGCACAGTGCAAGTGAGCTCCATGCCCAAACTTCATACGTTGGATATTGTTGCAGCTCTTTCATTGGAACTCACTCGCCCTCCTTTGGATTGCTCATGGGTTGGAAAGACAGTGGATCTCTCTTCAGCAAACCGCCAACTCGGGATTTCTCCGCAGTCGGAGCATGTGTCGTACCTTTCCGTTTTCAACCCCAGTTCAAAGAAGCCTGAAGTCTTCTTGATGCGGGCTTTGCCATTTGGTGAATCTAGGTCGGTGTATAGCTTCCTGCGAGTGGCACATTCGTTGTGGTGGTTGGGGTGTGTGGCGCTCCACTTGCCTTGGAGCAGTTTCTTTGATGATTTCATCACCTTCAGCCGTGACATCGAGTCCGAAGTCGTCGCAGGTGTCATCTCGCAGTTCTTCAGGTTGCTTGGTTGGCTGATCTCTTCGGGTGGGAAGGACCTCCCGTTCTCGCCAGTGTTCAAAGCCTTGGGGGTGGAGATCAGCCTGGTTGAGTGTCATCTTGGGAATGTGATCTTCAGGAACACCACCCGCCGTGTCGAAGAGCTCGTGTGCGCCATCACCAGCATACTCGATAAAGGACAGATGACTCAAGCTGAAGCATTGAGCTTGGGGGAGAATGCAATTTGCAAAGGCTCAGATATGGGGCGGGGCTGCCAGGTTATGCTTGATGACCGACCATGCCTTTGGTAGCAATTGCTCCTTGAGCCCATCAGCCATAGCCTCCTTAAACACCTTCAGGGACTGCTTGGTCACCTCACCTCCTAGGAAGATTTCTCACAACTGGAGACGCCCTTGGTTTGTTTTTACAGACGCCTCGTTCCAGCCCGAAAATGTGGACATGCCCTGTGGGCTTGGTGGTGTGCTGGTTGACCCTGATGGAAATCAATCAGATGCCTTCTCGATTGTGTTGGACTTCAAGATGCACTTGGAGCCTTTGGGGTACCCTCGGAAGAAGACTGTCATCTTTGAGGCTGAGTTGCTCGCCCTGCTCATTTCTATGCGCTTATGGGGCGACAGGGTTTCCCATCAACCGTGCTTGTTCTTTGTGGACAACAACTCGGCCAGGGATATCTCGATTTCAGGTCATGCGCGAACAGAGCCTGGTTCCTCGTTGGTAGCGCAGTTGCTGAAACTGGAGGATTCACTTGGCGTCCTTGCATGGTATGCTCGTGTTGCTTCAGCATCCAACATTGCTGATGCTCCCTCCAGATGCTCCCGAGATGGAATTGCAGTCCCCTACATGCCCCATGATGTAGTCCTTAATGCAGTCAACGAAGTTGTATCCAAATTATAGTCCGGTTAAATGGGGGTGTGGTGATAGGATTGTGACGTGCACCTACTTTTGATAACCTTGGTGGAGTGAAACCTTGCAAATCCATCTTTCAAAACATGTGTGCACTCTTTTCCTTTGCATGGT